TCCCCCCCCCCCCTTCCCCTCCTCCTCCTCCTCCTCCTCCTCCTCCTCCTCCTCAACATCTCGTCACTCCCGACTTTACCGTCAATCTAGTGAGCATACCCACCCCCATCCCACCTGTAGGTCTTACTACCCCTGTCCAGTAGCTGATGTACCCCACTATTTTACCTGAATTACCCCACCCTCCGAAAAGTATCTACTACCCCACCATGTCCACGCACAGAAATCCAATTATGAGAAGGGGTGGGAATTGGCATACCCCTGTGGCTACTTGGACTACCCACCCGTGAGCATATGACCCCTGATCTTCCAGATGTACCCCAAATTATTGGTCTCAAACCCCGGTACTACATCTGTAAAACTTTATACTTGTATACCCCCTACCTATACCTATGGAGCTTTTCCCATAACCCTACCCACTCTGGTAGTCTCTGGCCAGAAGGGTACCCCTACCCATTTAGTACTAGACAATTGAAGGGGTACTCATCAACATGCCTACCCAAATTTGAAGCTCACAAGTAGGGGTGCTTCGGCGTACCCCACCCGTTCTTTCATGCGAAAAACTATGGGTGATGAACATACCCTACCTACCACATGACCGGACAATGAGGGGTGGTAAAGTACACCCCTCCCTCCTCGGTGGGTCGAAGTCGTCGGGCAGGCTGATCATGCCGCGGGAAGGTGTTATGGGGATGGACGACGGGCTGGTAAGAGAGGAGGAGGAGGAGGAGGAGGAGGAGGAGGGAGGAGGAGGAGGAGGAAGAGAAGGGAAGAGGAAGAGGAAGAGGAAGAGAAAGAAGACCGCCAAGAGGAAGTTGCGTCCGAACGAGAGGAGGAGGAAGAGGATTGGGATGGGATGGAAAAGATCTGTGAGAGCAGACACGGGAAACTGTTGACATTCTCAGATAGATATGAGAGAAATAGGAAATGGTGTTCGAAATGGAGTCCATACAAGGAGGGTGGAAGAAGGTAGTTTGTAGTCGATAGGAGGGGGTACATGCTGCGGAGAGTTTGCCCATCGTCGACTGTTCATACGTTAGCATGAGCAAGACAAGACTTCCATGGCGAGAAAGTGGTGTAGATAAGGTCGGGACGATACTGACAAGCAACGTTTCAACGTTGTAGGGGGACTATGAGAAGTTTCCTGACGACAGCAACTACCACTCGGACTCTGCTATTCCTCCCCGCGATTTTCATGTGAATCCTCCACAAAGAGTGCCAATTCCTGTGCGCGCGCCCGTGCCAGAAGTTGTCACGAGGAGGTCAGCGAAGGAGACTTCTCGGAGGAATGGTCCTGTTAAGAAAGACCTTCACTCTGCGTTGCTCCGTCTTGACAACGCAAGGGTGAGGAAGGCGCGTAAAAAGCACATCGCCAGGGCCCAGCGAGATGAAGACGAAGTGCGTCTGTTCCGCGGGACAGTCTCCTGCATCTGCACATGCATGGAGCTGCAGACTGAGAAGTTACTCCCTGCTCTGAGGGAGGAGTTTGAGAAACGATCAAGGACTCGGTCGGACAGCGACCTTGACTTCAAGCAAGCAGCAGGAGGTGTGCCGGAGCAAGCAGCGGCTAGCGGCAAGAAGGACAGTGAACAAACCCCTTTGCGGAATTACCTCAAGGGAGAGTGGAAGTTTAAGATGTACACTGACGTCCTGCATGCTCATGCGACGTTCGAGGCGGACGAGTTTGTGAATGCTGCCAAGGCAGAGATGAAGGGAGCAGCTTCCAAAACAAGAGATATCGAGATGCAGACGTTGAGGAAGCTGAGGAAAACCTCGCAAGGGAACTCGCCGCCGGGTCACACTGTTGACATGGAGGAGAAAATCCTCTCGTGAGCTTCCTGTAAGACCGATCCGCTTCTCTGAACGATGTCGCAGACACCAGCACGATAAGGACCTGAGCTCCGAGAACGACCCGCAGCTCTGGGCCCCTGTAGGCAGCGAAGGCCTTGAGGTGAGGAGGAGAATCATGGCGAGTGTCGTGCTGAATTTGAGCAGCCGCCCCCGCTCGAGGGGAGGAGGATAAAGCGAGTTGTGTCGAACCAGCTGGGTGAGGCGATGAGCGACGGAGAAACTTCAGACGTGATGCAAGCAGACGACGAAGATGGGTGTGTTGCTATCTCGCTTGCTCGACTGCTGCTGTCTTTGTCTTTCTTCACTTCAACCCGCAAGTTTGTTGTCTTTCTCAACCATGGATACCGTTGAGGTGATTTCTCATGAAATCGGTTCTCAGGTACCTCCAAGATGCAGACAGCTGGATATACCGGTGAAAGGATCTCATGATGATGACCTTTGTTGTGATCTCTAATCCACAGAGAGGGATTTGAAGCAGAGATACAACAGGCAGCAGCTACGGTTTCTGACCTTGCCACGAAACATGTATTCTGCTACGAGTATGGGTAGAGATTCTGTTGCTCGCGCTCACAGTATGGCTAAGGAGGATCGCAGATGTCTTGTTTTCTGGGGATTGGAGCCGGAAGAAGAGCAATTCTTCATCAATTTCGTCAAGGATTTTGAGGACGATCCGATCCCTGACGAGGGTCAAGAGGTTGAGAGCACATTCAGTGCTGTTTGCTATCTTGACTTTCCTCATCTTATTTCAGAGAGATGATATGACTTTCTTCTATGGAACGCGCACTCGTTTGTACAATGACCAGGTCTGTTCACAAGTCTGCTGACGTCGTTGCTCTTGCTCTTGCTCTTGCTCTTGCTCTTGATCTTGCTCTTGCTCTTCTTCGTGTTCCACTCACTGAGATGTTCATTTCATTGTCTTCCACTACCATCACCATCATTGCCCCTCCCCCCCCCCTCTTCCTCCCTGTCATTTCCGTCATTCAACTCTGCTGAGATCCTCTTCTCAGGTCCAACTCGCCACCAACAGTCCGCTCGAGAAGCTCTCAATATCGTTCGCACTCGCGCAGTCCACAAAACTGTCGGTGAGGGCCGACATGAATGCGCGACGGCGAAGACTGGGAAGGAAAGGATCGAAGACTTGCCGGCTGATCTTAGACTTTCAGGTTTTGGAGTTGCGGGTGGAAGAGACTTTTGAGAACACGAGAGCTTATCCGCAGGTGATTGATGTTGTTTATGTATGATATGGAGATAATGTTTGTGTGATGGTGGCGGCGATATTGACCTTGATGGATCGATGGTGATGCTAATTTTTACGATGACTATGATGACTATGATGATGATGGTGGTGGTGGTGGTGGTGGTGATGGCTGTAATAGCTGAGATGATCATTGATCACGGGGATAATAATTTCATTGTCACAGGAGCTTGCCGAGACTGGACAAATCTCATTGTCACAGGTAACAAATCTACATCATTGACTCCTTTTGTTTGCTTGTTTCCTGATGTTTCTTCTCCCATCCAAGACTGAAGTCTCGAAACTTATTGGACAACTTTTCATCGTCAGAGCGTCGGTCTGATACTCTACCCTCTCCCTCTTTTCTTCCCCATGGTCTTCCTCCTCCTTTTACTCCTCCCAGCCCTCCCCCATCCTTCACCTTCCTATTCTTCTTCCTCCTTTCTCTCTCTCCCCCTCCCCTTCCTCCATGCTCAATCCTTCCTCCTACTCTGCCGTACTTCTGGTCTGCTGGTCAACTCAATGTCGCATCAGGTCAATCTCGAATCCGACATGCTCTCCACTCCAGACTTCTTCTGGGAGAACGACGAGTGGGAACCAATCTTCCGCCATGCCGGCAAGGTAACCAGAGTACACTTCTCCTCCTCCTACTCCTCCTTCACCACAACCCCCTTCTCCGTTCCCCTTGCCCCTTTCCCCTTCCCCTTCCCTCTTCTGCACTCCTCCCTCGCTTCCCTCCCGGCCCTTCCTCGTCTCCTTTCCCATTCGCTCTCCTTTCTTCTCACCACCTCGTCCTTCCTTGCCTGCAGTCTGCTGCTCCTGCGCCTTCCCTGAGATCTCTTGCTCCAGTACCTCGAAATCGACGGGCGAGTTGGCGTCCTCAACAAGCGCATGGAGGTCTTAGATGGAATGTTCCAGATGCTCAAAGACCAGCTCGAGGTTCGTCGCTCCCTCCCCTCCTCACCCCTCCTCTCCCCCCATCCTGTCCTCCTCTCTCCCCTCCCCTCCCCTCTTCTCGTGTTCCCCCTTCCTCCTCCCCTCCCCACCGCTCCCCTCCCCACCGCTCCCCTCCCCTCCTCTCCTCTATTCCTCCTCTCCTCTCCCCTCCTACCATCAGCTTTCTCTCTTTCCCATTGCTCTGCTCACTCTCCGCAGGTCCGCCATGCTACTCGTCTTGAGTGGATCGTCATCTGGCTCATCGTGGCTGAAGTTGGTCTCGAGCTTGTCTGGAACATCCTCATCCACGTGAGTCTCTCCTCCCCTCCCCTCCCCTACCATTCCTCTCCTCTCCTCTCCTCTCCTCTGCTCTCCTCTGCTCTCCTCTGCTCTCCTCCCCTCCCCTCCCCTCCTCGTCTTCCTCCTCATCTTCCTCATTCTCCTTCTCCCCCTCCCCTCCTTCGCTTCAAGCTCATCTAATAGCTGCTGTCTGTAGGATATTTTGGGCTTCTTCAATCGCTGCGACTAGCACAGTTCCCCCCTATCCCCTCCAGTCCCCCCTCCCGTCCCGCTTTCCACCACCACCACCACCTCCTCCTCCTCAGGGCCTCCTCCTCCTCCTTCCCCCTCGACACATGATGAGGGTTCGATGATGTCTATTCTTCTCCTCTTATCTACTCTACTTCAACTACCAACAACGACTGACCGTGACATCATGCTTTAGTGTGGAATCTCATCCAATCAGAATAAAATCAAAGTGAGTCACTTGTGTGGGCCTGTCCAGTGGGCCGGCAGGCCCGGCCGCGCCAGACGATCCTGATCGGACGGCCCGGGCCAACCAGTCCGCTCCCGGGCCGGCTGCTCACCGGGCTGTGGCACTCAGTACCGTACCGTACCTTACGGTCCGATCTGACTGGGTCCGTGGTGGGCCCGGCGGTGCCGGGCCCTGAGCCCGGCCCGGGCCTCGGCGGGCCGTAGCCTAGTACTGAGATCGGACGGTCAGACCGACTCAAGTCACTGAGTCAGACGGTCCGATCATTTTCCTCCCAGGGTCCGCCTCAGAAGGAATGAGCCCGCCTCTGAATGTGCGGTTGGTCTGTCGGAACTGTTGAAGTACAAGAGGGCCCAGCCATGGGCGGAGCCGCATCCATGCTACGTGGAGCCGCCAATGCTCCTCCTCCTCCCTTCCTCCATCATCCTGCTCTTCGTACGGATGTCTCTGCCACCCCAGAGTCCTCTTCTCCCGTCCCTCCTGCCCCTGCCTCACCCCACATCCCTCCCTCCTCTCCTCCTCGCCTTCCTCGGAGTCATATACATGGCTCTGCTGCTCTTCAAGCTCCAGCATTCAGACAAACACTTGAGCATCTCCCTCTACCAGATGATCGTCAACCCTCTTCTCTGTCTCCTGCTGACTCAACTCTCCACCTCCCTTCCTCCTCCTCCCTTCCCCCCGCTGGAGCTCTATCTAGTCACTCAATGGAGGGGGATGGACTTATGGAGCCTGCAACAAGAACATCATCCTCGGGAGGAGCGACAAACATACAGTTTGTTGTGCAGAGAAGCGCTCTGAGGAGGCTGTTTTCTGATGTACGCTGCTCTATACTGTTTTCTGATGTACGATTCTCTACATGGCAAGGTTTGACTGGTGTAAACAGAACATGGACATAGACGAAGGTCTGCTCAATCTTCTTGTCGATGGAGAGGTAGATCGGTAAGATCTCTGTGCATGTCGCATCCTCTTCGCATTCCCTTCCTCTTGCTCTGCTGGATTTCTGTTGCTAACTCCTCCCTCCTTTCCCATCCCTCCCCCCCTCCTGCCTCCGACGCTCCCTCAGCCCCTCACACAGCAGCTCCTACCCCTCCCCTCCGCCCCCTTGTCACCAGTTTGTCTGCCATACTACTCGCTTGACTTGATACTCTTGGCGGATGTGACACTTGGATCTTGTCCTGACGCGCAAGCAGGAGTTCGCGGCAACTTGCGGCATCGAGAAAGTCAGTTGAGAACCTCGAGAGGTTCGTATGGGATGGGAGACGACAAGGAGGAGGACAAACTGCGAGGGAGGAGGAGGACAAGCAAGTCGTTCCTGCCTCACAAGACGAAACTGATGGAGAAACCTGCACGATCTGCACTGAAGAGTTTGTCAGCGGATCGCTGCTGATCCGCATGCCCTGCATGTAACGCTGTGCAAGTGATGGGGAGATGGGAGATGTTCATGGTTCGTTCAGGCATGTGTTCCACAACGTCTGCCTTCTCCCTTGGTTGATGAAGACAAACTCCTGTCCTGTCTGCAGGTTTGGTGGGTGACATCAACTGCTTGCTGTGATGTTCCAGCAACATCTGACAGATGTGGTTGTCAGCGCTGCCGACTGAAGACTCGCACATGGAAGCAAGACGGCGAGTTCTCCCTGCAAGACCTGTAAGATGATCATCCCATGAGATCTGCTCGAGACTTCTAGATCCTCTCTCCTCCCTG